TCTTCCCCTCCCGCTTCTGACAGCCGATGTCGGGTTTCCAGGAGAGCAGGAGAGGGAGGGACGGAAGAGCTCGACTGAATTCATAATTTTACATCTTGACATTAGCTGTACAAAGTCTGAGTTTGATAACGTGAAGAACAACAATTTGCAGAGGTTTATAACAGGCGCGGTGCCAGGTTTTCATTTTTGGGTGGGCCACGGTAATTTGGGACATACATTAATAAGCAGTGACTTAAGTGAAGCAGGCAGGTCGCGCTAGAAAATTTCGTTTAAAAAGACGTCATAAATGTGTTCCCCCGTCATTTTTTATTAATAAAATATGAAGTAAAACTCCCAATTTAATTTTCATTCATTTGTCATTAACATGTAGTCTACACCCGTGCGTTAAGTGGACCATCTTCCAGTAAAAGCAAAGCATCCAGCCCATCTCTCCAAATGCGTAAAATGTGCATCAGCCGCTAGTTAGGCACGCCGCGCGCTCCGTCAGCTACGTCAGCCCAGACAAGAGCAGAGCGACTAGAGAAAGAATAGAGGATAATTGTGTCTGGATGTGGATGGAGATTACATTTTACAGCAGCCTGATCATCATTTAAATACGTAAACTATCACCTGTCTTCTAGTCCACGCTATCAGCATTATTTTATCTGGTGTGTGTGTGTGTGTGTGTGTGTGTGTGTGTGTGTGTGTGTTTTCCACTTCAAACACTGGTCTAACCAACCAGACCAGCGTGTCCAGTAACATATTAATGTTTCACTTCATGTAGGCTAGGAACGTTCCACCTGCCGTGGCCCGACCGCTTCTGCTCCACATAAACTTTGTGCGTGATCAAATGTCTCTACAGGAGCTTTCTGAGCTGAAGAGCTATTCTGCCTCAGACTGGATGCGTCATGCGTCTCCATATTAGAGACGGGAACAAGCGCTGTTCAGCCAAAGTTTCATAATCAGAGAACATTTTTCCAAGTGACACATCCCTCAGAGAGACCGGGTTTCCAGACCGCTTCAGTGGGAGGAAATCTTATCGCATGCACCGTGGTTCTGCACTGCGCTGCGAACCCCTCAGATCTTCAGCCCACTGCCCGCACTGAACACAGTGTCCAGTATAAAGCTCTGATGTTCTGATGGGAATCAAGTTACCTCCGCGATGTGCATTAACGATTAAAATGTCACCTCATCCATTCGCGTTGGGGTAATTCTTTCAAAACAACCAACATCCTTGAGTTTATCCGTCAAAATGTGGCAAGGAGGATAAACGAGGGCCCGGGCGGGATTCGATCCCCAGACTCCCGGGTGAGAGTCATACGCTCTAACCAGTCAGCCAAAGTGACAACCCCTTGGCCAAGTAGCCAGGGCGCATTATCTATCGGGACATTGTGACAGGACGCTCACACTGCCACACCTGATTATGAAACTTTGGCTGAATAGCGCTTGTTCCTGTCTCCAATGTGGCGACACATCCAGGAGCCGTCTGAGGAGAAGTCCAGAATCTGACATCCTCCAGCTCAGGAAGCGCCGATATGATTACGCACAAGCGTGACGCGTCAACCCGGTCTCACAGTAAGACCGGGTTGGACCTGTTCAGGTTTACGCAGACAATCTTTACATTTAGAATTGGCATACAGATGTAAAATTAATGCAGTAAAATATAAAGCATTTTATTTAAATATCCATTCATTATTTTACAAGCACAGAGAGCCGCATCAGATGGATGGAAGAGCCGCATGCGGCTCCAGAGCCGCCGACCCCTGTGCTAGCCTACTTTATTGTCCCCAGCAATTTTTAAACCCCACTCATGTGGTTATTGTCCCCAGCTATTCTGAAAACAAACTGACGCCCTTGGTGACAGCACTTGCTCTATGCTGAGTAAAGCGTAGAAAACACAACCAGTTTTAGTTTGACTGAAATCCCAGTAACATAAATTCCCAGTAGCATTACCTAAAATATTTTTTGTGGAAACATCACAGTCATAAACTTAAACAGTAAGAGCAATTGTGCAAATAAGAACAATCTAAATTTTGAATAAAGTAACAAAATGAAACTGCTGGCTTTTAAAGCATATCAAAGGAAACAAAAGTGTGTTTAGTCTTCATACTGCAGGAGACTTTGAACAATCTCTAATGAGAAAAATGACACTTCATTGACTGGGCAAGATGAGAAAAGTTAGGCTCATATGGGGTGACGGCAATCCGCAAACAATGATGCAGATGCTCATTTGTCAAGGACATTCGATTCTCTGTTTTTATGGCATTCACGTGAGAGAAGGCTGATTCGCATGTACATGTTGATCCAAACATTGTTAAGACACATATAGCCAGTTTTCTCATGTTTGGGAACATCTCTGGGACAATGTGCTTCGTCCAAAGCTCGGTGCAGCCTTTTTCCTGAAGGACATCTTTGAATTCCCCTGATGCTTGTATTTCAATCATTTCAAGTTGCAGGGGACCTTCGTCAATGCCATGTAACTCCAGGAACGCTGCTGTTTTGGGGGAAGTATAGGGCGTGCTGGTGAATGGGTTCCTCACTACATACAGCAACTCTTTGTAAAGTTGTGCAAAGTTGTGTTTCAAATGGTCCAGAAAGTCTGACATGACCTTTGTGACTTTACCACATTGTGATGACTTCATGAAGCCACTGAGGGTTGGAAAATGCGGCAATCTGCTACTGAGATCAGATGAAAACATGTCTAGTTTATTTTGAAAAGCAGTTAGTCTTTCAACCACATCAGCAACTGTTTTATCTCTCCCTTGAAGTCCCAGGTTAAGTACATTCAAATGATGAAAAATATCACCTAAAAAACACATCTCAGACACAAATTTACCATCCAGCATGTTGGTCAGAAATGTTTCAGCCTTTCTCTGCTTGCATTCATGAAGAAAAGTAATGATTTCTTTCCTCAGTTCACAGACTCTCATGAGTGCATTTCCCTGGCTTAACCACCTCACATTGTTATGCAAAAGTAGGTCAGCATGCTCAGTTGACATATCAACAAGAAGTTTGTGAAACAGTCTGTGTTGGAGACCAGATGTTGATCTGATAAAGTTAATTGTAGCCATGACAGAATCAATTATGTTTTTCAACTCACCACTTAATTGTGCACAAAGCACACTCTGGCGGATGAGACAGTGCAGCGACTTCATTTTTGGCGCAAGTGCAGACAGCCGTGCAGACAATCCTTTGCTCTTCCCCGCCATCGAAGGTGCACCATCTGTAACAAGCAGGTTAATACACTCCAAGTCCAGTCCGCTCTCTCGAAAAAATCCACAATCTTCTGGAAGAGTATTTCTCCTGTTGTATACCCTTCAAGTGGTATTAATCCCAATATGTCCTCTTTGAAACCGTGACCATCATAAAAACGCACAAACATACAAAGTTGAGCAACATCCGAGTTGTCCGTTGATTCATCTACAGCCAGGGATATGAAATCAGCCTTCCTCAGTTGATCAAGAAGAGTGTCAAAAACATCCGTGGCTAGAGCATCCACTCTTCTCGCAGTGGTTGTATGGGACAGTGGAATTGATTTAATCAAAGTAATAACTTGCTCTTTCACGTTTTCATCCGTCACCACTTCCTCAACAGCAGCTTGTATGCATTCTTCCACTGTTTCAGCATCTGTAAATGTTCTTTTATTTTTAGTCAATATCCATGCGATTCGCAGAGATGCTGTTGTAGCTTTCTGCTGCAATGTGCAGGTTCGGGTGAAATGCACACAACTCCGCTGATAGTTTTGGCTCAGTGTCTTTATTTTTATCTGTCGAGCCTCAGAGCCTGGTGGATATTCACTGTCAAAGTTAGCGTGACTCGTCTTGAAGTGCCTCCGCACGTTGTATTCTTTGTTTACCGAGCAAATGACGAGACAGACAAGGCACATGGGTTTCCCTTCAGCATTTTGAATCTGTGCATACTTATCATTCCACTCGTTGTTAAATCTTCTATTTTCAGTGTCAATTTTACATCTTCTCTTTTGAGTGTGACATGTTTTTCCAAGAAACCGCTGTTATAAATCGTCATATACTTTCCATCAGGAGCTGCGCAACTTGTCGTAAAACCTGCCGTTTACGGGCACTGAAGAGCATAACAGCGTCACCGACCTGTTGGATAGGTCCCTTACGCTCCACAACGTGCCGTAAAATGTCGCAAAATGTTGTAACCTGCCGCGATTACGGTTTAGCCATCGGCTGCTAATAACTGCGACACTGCTACTTAAAAAACACTGTTTTTCAAGAATTATGAAGACAATGGGCCGGTCCAAAATGCCTGATGGGCCAGTTCTGGCCCTTGGGCCGCCTATTGAATAGGGCTGGCTTAGGCGGTGGTGGGGGTTTTCGCCCTACCTCCCTGGGCGCCCTGGGCTGGTGCCTTTGCTGCTGCCATCGATCCAACACTACCGAGGCAGATGGCTCACCTGATGGCGTGTCATTCGTTACCTAACCCATCTGAACTCAGCCTAGTGTTTACTTAGGATGTTTTATTTATTTATTTATTTTTAATGTTTTGTGTGTGTGCATGTGTGTATTTGTTGTTCGTGTGTGTGTGTGTGTGTGGCTGCGTGTCCTTTAGGAAATGGATTGTGGGATGGGATGGGATTGGGGGTGCAACTGTCATAATTATTTTTATATTTTTGGGGAAATTATGGGATTATGGGTTATATGGGGTGATCTTAACCTGTAAAGCACTTTGAGCTGTATTTTTTGTATATGAATAGTGCTATACAAATACAGATTGATTGATTGGTTGATTGATGATTGATTGATTGATTGATTGATTGATGATTGATTGATTGATTGATTGATTGGTTGATTGATTGATTGATTGATTGGTTGATTGATTGATTGATTAATTGATTGATTGATTGATTGATTGATTGGTTGATTGATTGATTGATTGGTTGATTTATTGATTGGTTGGTTGGTTGGTTGGTTGGTTGGTTGGTTGGTTGGTTGATTGATTGATTGATTGACTGATGTTTTATTGATTGATTGATTGATTGGTATATTATATTTTAAAGCCTAATTCTGAAGGTGTGGCGGCTTGACTTTGCCGTGGCGTTAGGCCATGATCACGTAGGGTAAACCCCGGGTGTTCCAAGTATTCTACAGTTCGACACAAATCAGGTTCAAACTTGCATTGTGTTAAAAATCAAGGCATGAAGAATTGTTCTGTGTTCTAGTGTGGTTTGATGCTTTAAATGAGATCGACCATAACTTATTCTGATTTTAACTTTTAGAGATGCCATTGCCAAAGCCTTGTATTCAGTACTGTTTGACTGGTTGCTGGAGCAGATCAATGATTGGCTGAGTCCCACTGAAATGGACAACACCGTGGGTGTCGTGGACATCTATGGTTTTGAGGTTGGTACGCAACGTTCAGCCAAGACTAGGCCATTGGAACCGTACTAAGCACGTGAATTCTGTCATCCCTGTTTAGGATCTGTGTACGAACAGCTTTGAGCAGCTATGTATCAATTTTGCCAATGAACAGCTGCAGCATTTTGTCAACAACGCAGTCATTTCTCAGGAGCAGGTAGGCGAAGTGTCTATCAAATACTATGGAAACACTCATAATCAGCATCAAAAGTTTCAGGCCGGATGAAATGCCCTGCAGGAGGAGTATCACGCAGAACAGATTCAGTGGCACCCAATGCCTATTAGGAGCTTCCACGCCTGTCTGGAGCTGATCTCCTCCAGACCACATGGAATCCTTCGAATCTTAGATGACCAAACCTTCCTCCCACAGGTTGGCACACTCATTCAAACCATGTATTTGCTTATCCTAGTCTCTAAGGAAATGGTTACATTCCCTTACTGACTTGGGCTCTATCACAGTTAAAACCTCTGAAGCTTTCTCTCACCATAACTTAGTTCTGACCGTAGATTCCGCATCTTTGGTGGCATCAACAAGTCATCTCCATGCCGTGTTTTTCTTCAGTTCAGCAACTGAACCAGGTGATTTCAATCAGCACAGTGAAGGAACCCGGTTCAGTTTGCTGAACGGAACAAAATCACGGCATGGAGACGACTTGTTGAGGCCACAATTCCCATCTCTGGCTCTGACCATCACTATAACCTGATGTTGTAAAACAACATTTGATGACAGGTTTCAGAAGAACGTCCCCATTCCCAGTGTCCGTTTCTGATCACACTGTGCTGTTTCACTGAATAGGCCACTGACCACACCTTCCTCCAGAAGTGCCACTACCACCATGCAAACAACCCGTTGTATGCCAAGCCCAAGCACCCTATGCCAGTCTTCACAGTTTACCACTATGCTGGAGCTGTCACCTATCAGGTATCAGACCCCACACTGCTGCCAATCAGCGCTGTGCCCCTAGCGCTGAGTTCAAACCTTCACCTGTTCCAGGTCCATAACTTCCTCAATAAGAACCATGACCAGTTCAGGACAGAAGTGGTGGAGCTGTTTGCTAGGAGTCGAATCCAGGTGAATCAGCAGAACCTCAAACCAACTCTTTATGATAGAGTCCATGGAAAATGTCATTTAACATCGTTTTTGTGTTGATTTAACAAATGTTGTTTTAAAACTCTGGAGACTACACACCGTGCTTTACATTCTTGCAGCTTTTTTAATTGCTGGCTTTTCCATCCTGTTAGATGATTTCTGAGCTGTTTCGTAAGCTTCAGGAGAAATACATCCAGCAGAGGGAGCTGGGCTGGCGGGGGAAAGGTCTGCGGCAGCAACCCTCCACTGCTGCGTCCCATTTCCTCCAGTCTCTGTCTGAACTCACCACTCGCCTGGAGCGGTACGAGCACACAAGACCGTTCTCTGTGCCCAGTGGGCCTGTGAGCAGAACCCAGACAAGGACACATGCTGCAGATTTAAATAAAAACTTTGTACAAACTGATCGGTTTCTCGCTCCCCGCAGGTGTAAAACCATGTTTATACGGTGTCTGAAGCCAAACTACGTCAAGGTAACAACACTTTCCCATTGGTTCACCTTTAACTCAGACCCTTTCCCCCGAAAACCACAAACATGTAGGGAGGAGTAAAGTCGTTTGTGGCCTGCATTTAATGCAAGTCAAGTTTATTTATATGGAACTTCTGATGCAATCATCTTCAGCGTCTGTAAAGGAAATGGTTACCAGAGCTACTGGACACCATAAAGAAATACGAAAGATGTAAATAAAACCCTACATTTATAATTGCTTCTATAATAATTATTGGGGAAAACCTAAATGAACACTGGCAGTTTGAAATTGTGCCTCCAAGTATTAATAAAATAACCAAAACTATATAATGAGCATTGCACCATCAAAAGATTAAGTAAGCACAGGCTGGAGTTTTTTGCACTAAAGTGGGCAGTGTGTTATAATTCCCACCATTGGCTGAGAGGACATCCCTTCACAGTCTGGACAGATAATAATAATCCCCTGTCCAAGCCACGTCTAGATGCCTGTGAACAGTAGTGGATCGCAAAGCTGGCGCCTTTCAGTTTTGACATCAGGTACATCCCTGGCCCCCAAAACATTGTGGCTGATACCCTTAGCCGGGAACCATTTGTTCACAGAACAATGTCACGGAAGTTGATCAAGGTGGCGTACAAAGATCTCTTGGCAGAAACCGCAGTGGTGTGTGCTTATGGGATGCAGGAGGCCCTTCATTGTTCAGCCCATCTTGGAGAAAATGGCATGGAGTAGGGCAACCCAGCAACATCAGGGAGCGTAGCTGTTGTGGTGACGGGATCTCTAGCAGCTGACAAAGTCTCTGCAGTCCTCCAGGCGTGTGAGCAGCAGGAGCCGAGGCTGTGTCGGCAAGCACTTCTCTTGCCCCATTTTCCACAAACAGTGCAGTCGCCAGATTGTTCAGGACCGACAGTAATCCCTCATGAGGAGCTGCTGGAGAAGCAAGGTGCTGACAGTGTGTTGTGTAGACCATATTATGTGTAGAGGGGATGGAGATCCTCTCGGAGAGAACGAGCCAAGGAACTAGTGGAGATCAACAAACTTCTTAAGGGTTGGGACAAACTGACCATCAGGGATGGCATACTGTACCGGGTGTCTGAACCTGTGTAGCATCACAGGTCAATGACCCCTCAAGGGTCACCGGGATGTTAGGTTTCTGTTTGGGACCTTTACGGATGATTTTACACAGAAGTTTAAGCTTCTCAGGCTTGTCCAGCGGGAAAGGATGACTAGACCAACTGACAGGGGTTTTGGATGGTCGAAGAACGGTACTGATGGATGCGACATCACCAGACCTCACTGGGGTCACAGGTGTCACAGGACGCACCGTCAGGTCAGGTTCAACTGATGGAGGATTTGTCATTTTAATGGAGTCATGTGCAAGCACTGCAAGTGCAGGAGCATGTGCAATCTGGTCTGCAGAAGAGATGAGTAGAACCTCTTTAGCCTTTGGTGAGGTGCTTACCAGGCCACAAAGGACGTAGCGCAGGTTGTCAGGAGGCCTGCTACCAGTCTCAGGTCTTGACCTTGGAGCAGTAGGGCTGTGGTCAGCATGGCTGCAGTGCGGTGAACAATGGTAAGGGCGGCGTTCACCTGAGCTGTACCAAAAGGTCCAAAAGAAAGGTGTCGGCATGGGAAACCAGACCTGTGGAGGACTCGGGGTCAGCGATGCACTTAATAGTCCTTCTGAAAACTTGACCTGCTGTTTTTAGCCGAGTTTTTTCCTGGTAGTTTTTCCAATGGAGACGAGGCAGAGTACAGAGAGGAAGTCCTGAAGTTGGCAGCATGGTGTTCAGAAAACAACCTGGCACTGAACTCCAAGAAAACCAAAGAGCTTGTTGTCGACTTCAGGAGACACAGCACCGACTTGGCCCCCCTCTACATCAACGGGGAGTGTGTGGAGAGGGTCCACACTTTCCGGTTCCTTGGTGTCCTCATCTCTGCTGACATCTCCTGGGCGGAAAACAGCTCAGCGGTCATCAAGAAGGCAAGACAGCGGCTGCACTTCCTGACCCCGGCTTTCCACCGGAGCCGTCAGCAGCACGTTACTGCAGCAGCACGTCATAGCTGCTGATAGGAACGGCTGTGGTCAACAGAACCTTTTCCACTGGAGCCGTCGGCAGCCGTCAGCAGCGCGAGTCGGCCGCGTCTCAGGAGCAGCATGTCGCGGCCTTTACGCGCCGGTTCTATTTCCTACGCGCGACGCCTCTGAAACGGGTCAAGTTCGACATTTTTGGGGAAGGAAAGACAGGAAATCGGACGCGGAAATGGAGAGAAGCTCCCGAGATTTTCAGAATAAAGAACGTACTGCCTTCCGGTTGCTTTACTTTAAAAAAGGTTACTAACTGTGCGGCCCCGTGAGAAGTTATCACCTAGCTAGCGGTCTCCTTTGTTTTTCAGGTCCGTATTGGCGATTATAAAACGGACAGAACATAAAAACACAAACATTTTGGAGCCATGTTGTAGTTTTCTCCTGCTTGTTGTTGTGTTTACTGACGAAGTCACTCGTGTGACTTCGTGCTTTGTCGGTGACAGCTGCTCCCCTGCTGATTCGCGTCTCGTGGGAAGGGCCAAGCAGCAGCTTACGCGAGCAAGACGTGCTGCTGCAGTAACGTGCTGCTGACGGCTCCCGTGGAAACCCGGGGTGAGAGTCCTCGGGAAGTACAAGCTGAACTCCAACCTGCTGCAGACCTTCTACCGTTCGTCCATTGAGAGCCTGCTAACCCACTGCATCACGGTATGGCACGGCAGCTGCACCAAGGCGGATAGAGTGAGGCTTCAGAGTGTGGTCAAGACAGCACAGAAGATCATCGACTGCCCTCTTCCCTCACTGATGGACATTCCTCCCGCTGCCTCAGTAGGGCAGCAAACATCATCAAGGACAGCTCCCACCCTGGCTTCAACATGTTCAGACTGCTTCCCTCAGGGAAGCGCTACAGGTGCATTAATACAAAAACCCACAGACTCAAAAACAGGTTCTTCCCCAAAGCAATAACCACCCTGAACTCACACATGCACCAATAACAGCCCCCACTTCCCACTTCCTCTATTGACCACCACTATTTATACCAATTCTATGTGCAATAACTGTATACACATAACACTGTCCATATGTATATAGTGCTGCAGAACTGTACCCCCCCACCCCCCATCCAGCATGTTTTTTACACTAAGTAGGAGATCCTCTGTATCTCATTTTACAATTGTATTGTGGTGACAATAAAGTCATTCTATTCTATTCTATTCTAATATTAACAATGCTCATTTGCACGTTTATGGAAGTATGCAAATTCTCAGGAAAAAGTTCTTTGAAGTCACAATTTTCTTTCATTCCTGGTTGGTTTCGATGACCAAAGGAAGCACGGAAAAGGCGGAAGTAGAACACATGTGGATCCTCTGAAGGAAACTGACTGACATGACAATTGTTAAACCTGTGGTCTTTGCTGTACCTGAGAATTCTTCCTTCAAAACTTTGCAGAGGAGGGAATAGTCACTTTTGACCTCAGGCAGCTGACCTTTAATGGAATCACTCACCACAATGGACGAGTTGAGCCTGATCAAATAAACCTTATCAGAAGTAGAAGCGGTTAGAAACTGTTCAAGATGACCATCAGTCTCTTTAAAATATTAAAGACATCAAAATTCTCACCCAGCGTGGGCTCAAACTGTGAAACGAACCCAGCCATCTTATATAAACCAGCTGATGTGAGTGAAGGTGTGGAGGACCCCAAGGCTTGAACTCGAACACTCAAATTCTGTACATCTTGTCTGGTCATCTGTTCCTCCTGTCACAGGTTGGACAGCTCCTGTTTCATTTCAAGCTTCATTTAAGTGAGAAAATCCATCAACAGTTTTTCTCAATCTGCAGCCATCCTGAGCAACAGAAACTATGAAACCCTCAATTTTGGATATTGTTATTTAGAAAGCTGTTAAAGAGTTTTAATGAAGCAGCCGGATCAAAACATGCCAGAGAGGGCTGCTGGAGAGTTTTAGAAAGGCAGATTAGAGAAGAAGGGAGGATGATGTCACTTCTTTCTTCTTTGAGTGAAGGTTCAAAATAGCTTTTGTCGCTTGGAGTTGGCTGGAAACGGACCTTCTAAAATTGATGGTTTCAACCGCAGCAATTTGATTTGCAGGAACTTGACCCCAAAGGGACTTAGATTTGATTCGCAGTTAGATTGCTAGGTAGATATCGGCATTTGGATTTGGATTCAGTGATGTAATGATTTAATTTACATCTATTTAATGAACCATAAGATGAGAGATTCCATAGTAAGTATGAAATCAATCTTATGGATCTTTGGGTAATTTTAACCAGAAGAATGGAACTTTTTATTGCAGGGATTATGTAACACTTCGTATTCACTGAGAGACAAGAGAAGAGAAAGTCACCTTTAAAACGTTTAAGAAGATTTATTTCTAAACAATTTTAAACAAGACTCACTCTAAACTCTAAGTGAACGGATGGATCTTGGTGTGAATGAGACGTGAGATGAGTGTATGTGTGAGTGATGTTTGTCATCAGAACTCTCGTATCCGGAGAAGCAAGTCCGAGTGATGAAGTGATGTTTTGCTCTTAAGCTATGATCGGAGTTTCATAAACACATGAGACGCCATCTTGTCGCTCACCCTTCAGGATGAGACCTCCGTACAGATCCAGAATGCCAGGTCCTCGACCCCCCTTTCGGTACCACAGCCGGTGAAACAGCATCAGCAGTACGACAGACTAGTCTTTGGATTGTCTCCAGGTAAAAAGCAACAGTTGGTTGACAGCGTCAGATGGACCTGGAGAGTCAGTGAGTTCAGCTTTTATTCTGAAAGGAACCGTAAAGCAGCAGTACTCAATAGGAAGCCTGCGGACCAGGCCTGGCCCCCTATTTGTTTTCATTGGTCGGCTGCAGACAGGAGTCGTAGGCTTGAAAACTGAGGATGATTTGATCGTGAGACGGCTCAAAAAGCTGTCGCAGAGCCGGCCACCCATATGGTGCACATATATGCAAATCACCCTGACGTTGACCGTTTTTTCCACGATTCTGCTCAGGACGAGGGATTTGGCAAAGGCGTCCAAAAGTGGTATAGTATAATCCAGGCTTTAAATAAAGTAAAATGTTAACACCAGAAGAGGGAGAACGTTCAGTGGTAGCAGCTGATGGCCCCCTCCATGAGGCCATCACAGCTCATCGATACCTTCCTGGACACAACGTTTGTGCTGTTTGCAGCCCTGTAGCTAATCTCATTCTTGTTCTCTCTCAGCTACCAGGGGTCTTTGATGTGGACTTTGTGTCGGCTCAGCTGAGGCATGCAGGTATACTAGAGACCATCCACATCCGGAAAGAAGGTTTTCCTATACGGCTTCAGTATTCCTACTTCATTGAAAGGTACGGCAAACATGCACGCTGTAACATTTTGTAAGTGGTCACAATGAACAAACTGTCAATAAAATAAGAAAGGTGCTCAACAAAATATAAAATTTCCATAAAACTATGAATCATCAATATTATTGAACCTTTAATATCCGACTTTGGGTAACGCCAGCAAACCAACACTTATTCGACACAGAAGCAAAAATGTAGTTTATAAAATTATTCACTATAATTCTACGGCTAATGATCGCACCGAGTAAGTGTAGATAAATGATCATCCAAGAACCAAACTACTGAAACGTGATCTTGGATGTTATTAAGAGTCTAATTAGAAATAGATGTGAAGTCTGGGATTACAAGAATAATCTGGCTGCATTTGGTGATGTCTGATTGGTCTACGCACCAGTGGTGAGAGCTCCTGGGATCTCCAGCTGGCAAAGCCAAGTCGTCTCGACCAGGCGGAGGAGTGGGATTTACTCCTGGGGTACTCAAAGGTCGTAGACCCCTTGACCCCCGTCGGCTGGTCTGGGACCCCTCTGGTTCACCTCTGCTGGACGCTGACGGGTCGTTTTATGTCTGATGCAGTTGATGCAGGTTAAAACAGATTAGGGCTGCAACTAACGATTATTTTCATAATCGATTAATCTGTCGATTATTTTTTCGATTAATCGATTAATCGGTTTGTTATTGTTTAGCTATTTAACCTATACAAGTGATGGATGCATTTCAGTTAAGAACAAAAAAACATAAGAGAATTGTGCAGTTGACTGCAATCTATTTTATTGCACATGAACACAGTCAGCAGTATAAAATGAGCTAAACAGTGCAAAATATCAGTCCAGAATAATTTTTAGCATTAGCTGGAAGCCTGCTCCTTCCACCATGGATAGTGGCCTCATGTCTTTTACCAGCATGTTTAGAATAGAGTTTGTAAGTGGTATGAATTGCTGGGGGGTGAGTGTCTTCTTCCCCATGTAGTTGTCCATCGTTGCTTGTTTTTTTCTGCATAAGAAACACAAATAGACTGAAATAAGTACACATATAAAATAAAGCAGCACACACACTACAACACTAAATCAATATTATATTATTTGAATTAATTAACAATATACAGTGATCATTTATTTTGAGGGTTACGTTCTACAAAATAGCCCGCAACAGGAGATATTCAGAAAAAAAGTAAAACATTTTTACTATTAAAAAGCTCTAAGTAAGAAGCTCATGAGGTTTTTACTTTGAGTCGGGAGTGTTTAAATTAGCCAGAGAAATGTGAAAAATGTTTATTTTGTGTAATACTGTTTAAGAAACATGATAAAAATGTGTTGTGAGGCGTTTTACAGCGTTAGATAGTAAAACAGCCTTTTAATAGTAAAAAAATGACTTTTTCTGAATTTCTCCTGTATTTAAAAATTGAAAGTGTACAACTATGCCGCGTTATATTCACCTGGACACAGCTCATCTGTATATTTTTCTCCGCGGAGTTGTCCTTTTTTGAATGAGGAACACAGTTATGGGTTTGTGCCGTTTTTCTCTTAACGAGAACATTCTTATAAACAGACGTGCTAAATTTGGCAAGCGCATGATACACAACACGGAGGAGATTCACGATTGCATCTAGTCAATCAGAAGTAGAACACCGCAGACTGACGCGGCAAAAAAACATGTTTAACATCCACTATAACGAACTCAGCTAAAACACTAAGTCCAGCTTGTTTATTTTCTGTTACTTACCGGGCTGGCTCTTCCAAATGACGGCTCACTTGACCGCGGTGCTCTTCCTCTGCTGCATCAGCCCCCACATGCTTTCGTCTCAAATGTGCTCCCATACTCGTGAGGTTTTTGTCCGGGGTTTCTCTTCAGTTTTGTCGCTTCTATTTTTCTTCCGTATTTCCTCTTGTTCCGCCATTTTCTCACAGCAAGATGAGCGTCAGTAACGTGATACGTCATGAAAACCGAGGGCACCCATTGGCTCATTTCTTCTTCTACGGCTCCACTGGTAGATCAGTGGCTCATTACTGCCACACACTGGCGGCAAATTTAACAGCTTGTAACCGATGTCAGATTGTGGTAAAAAATAGACTTTATGCGGTAAAATATGATTATTAAACAACTAATCGATGACTAAAAAAGTTGTTAACTATTTTAATAATCGATTATAATCGATTAAATCGATTAGTTGTTTCAGCTCTAAAACAGATAATGGTTGTTTGGTTCTGCCTCTAGAAGATGTTCTGTTGTGAGATCAAGAGGTGTTCATGTAGCGTTGTCCCTGGAGAGAGTCCATCTTTTAAGGTCCGTGTTGGACCAATCAGAGAGCAGGAGAAATGTGGGCGGCGTTATGAAGGTCCCCTGACATCACATGTGTTGCTAAGAAGTATTTCACTTACTGTGGATGTAAATGTGATGTAACTGTCCTTGTTAATGTGCTGACATTAAAATGTGACGTGACTGATGACAAAATCAGCGCCAACCCATCCACTAGATCCGTTTGGTGTGTTTAAAATCTGAAATAATGCATTTCAACAGTTTACAGTTATTTAGATTCTTTCTTACTGTCAAGTCATCAAGTCCTATTAAAGCCACCTTAGATACAACGGTCAGTGGTCTGTGATTGTAATCAGTCTGTAAAGGGATAAAATCATTGATCCTTTTATGAGGGTCAAAGGTCTTCTGCTGGAGTCTTGTGCTTCGCAGCACAAGATAAGGCAGCAGGAGAGGAGCTGTTATGATGGTGACGCCATACAGCATCTGTTCTGATGACTGATGAAGATGGCTGGGCGTTGGAATGAGCTTTAGGCACGCACGGCCTTTCTCGTGCATTAGCTAATACCTTCTACAGATCTGGTGATCACTAAACACTGATGTCCATCAAAATGTGGCTGAAGATTCATGAAAGGATGAACAATCGCTGCAAACTATCGGCGGCTCCATAACGTATAAGCATAAACCCAGGTCTAAAGTACAGGGGGGGGGGGGGGGGGGGGGTCTAGCATCTTCAGACACACACACACACACACACACACACACACGCACACGCAGGCTCTCATGAAGCTGTACTGGTGGAGGACACAGGGCTGACGGCTCTTCTCACGGTGGACCCACACCTGGTGGACCCACACCTGGTGGACCCCTGTTCCCACAGCTGGACCACCTGGATTAGGTGTTGGACACTGGTCCTGCTGGATCTTGAAGTCTTCGTCTCATATGTAGTGGGATTTTGGTATCAAGTGACAAGAGGAACGTTGTGACCATTAGAAGTCCATCTGCAACCTGAGGCAGCAAACCCAACAGTTATCTGTTCTGGTCTAGTTTCAGCTCCGCCCCCTTCCATCACTGCTGCACATGAACACGCCCCAAAAACCAGACCAGCTCATGTCCCAAACAAATAATTTAATATATATGTATTTGTGTTCATGTACACGGGTTAATGAGGTCACTTTACAGCAGGTACAAAACTGGTGCACACACACACACACACACACACACACACACACACACACACGCACGCACACACACACACACACACACACGCACGCACGCACGCACACACACACACGCACACACACACACACGCACACACACACACACACACGCACGCACACACGCACACACACACACACGCGCGCACACGCACACGCACACACACGCGCACACACACACACACACACACACACACACACACACACACACACACTGATATATGTCACGTTGATTTCTTTAATGATGATGTCATAACTGATAAGTGATGACATCTCTGAATCAGTTTCTCTTCAAAAGGGATGGTAGAAATGTTGGCCAGCTGTGAACTATGAGTATGCATCACTCATGTGTAGCTGGGGCTTCTTTGGTCTGGATCACTGCAGCAACGCGGCGTGGCATGGAGTCCATCAGTCTGAGTTATGGGAGCTCACGCTGCTCTGATAGAGGCCTTCAGCTCTTCTGGACTGTTGGGTCTGGCGTATTGCATCTTCCTCTTCACACTAGCTGTAGCGGTCACAGTTTGTAGCGTGACGACTGCAAATGAATTACGACCAATAAGATGTGATGATTCCACATAAATATGAAATATCAATCTGATTGATCTTTGAATGTTTAATCAGAAGAATATAGCTACTTTACTTGTTCAGGGACCATAAAGACACTTCGTATTAATTCAGACAGTCAGGTATTTAGTTTATAAAAGGAATTTTATTCTTTTCTGAACTAATGATTATACATGACAAGAGATGAATAATGAGATGTGATGGGGTGGATGTGAGGTGATGGAGTGTGATGTGTAGGTGTAAGCTCGATGTTTATCAGAACCTTTGTGTCTGAAAGAAGTTGTGAAATCTGAGTATAAAATAATTTGTTGTCTGCTATAAACTAGAGAGTTGATTATTAATAAAACAGCATCAGACACCATCTGTTGTGTCTACGAACCCTGGCGGAGACCCCAGCAGATCCGGACTGTCAGAAGTCGGGTGGACCTCACGGCACCGGGATTTCGTAGATTAGCTCCGGTACAACTTGTCCAGTCTTGGCATGTCTCCAGGTCACAACAGTAGCTGGATTGCTCGTCTGCGTCCAAAGTGGGTGTGGCTCTCAGGGAGCCGTCAGGCTGTGTCAGCTTGCAGCGTGCCAACAGGTTAACTGTATGCCAAAAGAGATGTTTCAAGCATGCTTGTTCCGAGTTGGCCGGTTCGGGACTCTACTCAAAACATAATCACTCGGGAAGTAATTCCTGTTTTAATAAACCACAATGTTATGATTTCTGGGTATTCTGGCAAATCAGAATGTGCCATGTCTGGAAGGCTTTACCAAAACATCCCTCAGAAAGCCGCTCCTTCCTTCAGCTACAAGCTTCTTAATTTTGTGAATAAAGAATGGTTAAACGTTATGAGAGGTGAACCTTAACCTTAATTTGTATCTTACGAAGATGTATGAGGTAGATAATGATTAACTTGTTAAATCAAACACATACTGATCATAAGATCTGCAATGGATCGTTGTAAGAACAACGTTCATTTCAACTTCATTGATTTAAGCACAGATCTTGTTCGTTCATCACATATGATTATTTAACTTATGAGTTGTAAAAGTTCACTTTTATTCAGAGTGAGGAATCCAGCAGTCTGACTTTTTGCAGAGAGATAAGGCTTTTGCATCTGGTTGTCAACTTCAGGGTTCATTTCAAGATCCTGGTTCTGGTCTATAGGGCCTTACATGGACAAGCACCATCTTACATTGGTGATCTTCTTAGTCCCTACACCCCCAGCAGGTCCCTGAGGTCCAGTGATCAAAGCCTACTGGTTGTGCAGCACCAGGCCAAAGGTCAAATGTGACAGATCATCTGCTGCTGTGGCCCCCAGACTCTGGAACTCTCTCCCCCTGAGCCTGAGATCAGTGGACTCAGTGGTCTCCTTTAAAAAGCAGCTGAAGACTCACTTGTTCAAGCTGGCTTTTGTATGACCTTCTTCACCTCTCTCTCTTTATTCTGCTCTCCCCACCTATTCCACCTTCCTCAGGATCCACTGATTTCCCTCTTTCCTGTCCACTCTCTCTCTTTCTTAACATTTTAATCACAATTGTCTATTTTTGCTCATTTTAAATATATT